ATGGATAGCTTGTGAGCAAGCGTTATTGTTGACAATCCCAGCCAAAATATTGATCCAATACATTCATTGCCAAAATAGGGTTAGAGCATGTATGTACTAGATTAATTTTCTTCGGAATGGATAGAACTGTAGACAGATAGCGAGCAACAATCGGAAATCTACTGCGTTGTCCGTTCGTCTCTAGCCGACTTGACTCATCGCAGAGTTGACGACCTGTTGTTGATGTAATGCAGTATGACTACCCAAATTTATTTCTAGTATCTGGTAACCATTTTCCGTATTATGACGCACTTGTCGTCTGCTTTGAGCGCACAAGACAGAAGCTCGCTTACAAGGCTGGTGTCGGCTAGCACCCAGCTCTATCGATTTTTACTGGTAGTTTTTTTAAGTCCGCATAAACTGTGTATATCTAACATAGGAGAAAACCGGGTCTTAGCTAAGGAAATAGGTCAGAGCAACACAGTCTTGTCTGAGAAAGGGGGGATGGCGGTTCAGGGCAGCACCATCTACGTCATACCAAGTATCGATCGCTGTCCTCTGACTGTATGAAACAGTGGAAAGAACGACAACAGGACGTCGTGTCACTGTCTTATTGCCGAGCTGTTGTTTACGTCCTCAAGTGTCGTACGGGGTCGTCTGTACGGGGTCTGTACGGGGTCAGTGTCGTCTGTACGGGGTCGTCTGTACGTCGTCTGAACGGGGTCTTCTATACGGGGTCTTGGGTCGTTTGTACGGAGTCGTTTGAACGGGGTCTTCTATACGGGTCGTGGGTCGTCTGTACGGGATCTGTACGGGGTTCAGGGTCGTCTGTACGTCGTTTGAATGGGGTTTTCTATACGATGTCGTGGGTCGTCTGTACGGGGTCAGGGTCGTCTGTACGGGGGTCAGGGTCGTCTGTACGTCGTTTGAATGGGGTCTTCTATATGGGGTCGTGGGTCGTCTGTACGCTGCCAGGGTCGTCTGAACGGCGTGCTTTGTGACTTGCCCTCGTATTGCAGATATTTTCAGCGTATCTCGTTATCAAAATGTGGGCCTGTTGTTTTCCTTCAATTGTTTTTACCGTAGAAAACAGGACTGCGCAGGCTCTGTACTGATATGAAACTGAAGACGTTAATATTTTGGGGTATATTGTCAAAGCTGTATAAGAACAGTAAAATGGCTTTTCTGTGTGAGTAAATAGACAATCTAAATATGTGATTGTAATTGCAAGTGTATTAAACAGAATTACCTCAGTCCCTATGGTAACCGTCAGTACTTGGTCCGCACGTGACCATGGAAAGATGACCGCGTGTATATACCGTAAGATCTTTATTATGATGGCGCATGTGAGGATCTCATCCAAAAATTTACATTCGCTAAAACGTACAAAACAAACAATAGTGACTCAATTCTTTGCACCTTGAAATAACACATGTTAAATGTCACCAGAAATTATGCCACTTTTGGTTGTACGCCCACTTTTCCTAGCAAAACTGCCTTCATCAGTCTTAAGACACGGTTCACTATCCATAGAGATAATGCACACTTCATTTGTTATGCGTAGTCTTCTGATTCCAAAAGTGAGGTTAATCTTAGCCATCAGACCAGGAAAACGCTATCAAAAATCAGAAACCATATCCACATTCCCTTGAAACCTTAACTATTCAAGTCTTAAAACACTAATCGATAAAATAGAAACAATGCTAAGACTGTCCTTTGACCCTTGATATTGATCCCAGACACCAGATCCACCAAAGTGTTCGAAGTCTCTCCACTTACCCTAGAAACCATACCCACCAAAGTGTTCGGAGTCTCTCCACTGACCCTAGAAACCAGATTCGCCAAAGTGTTCGAAGTCTCTCCACTGATCCCAGAAACCAGACCCACCAAAGTGTTCGGAGTCTCTCCACTGACCCTAGAAACCAGATTCGCCAAAGTGTTCGAAGTCTCTCCACTGACCCTAGAAACCATACCCACCAAAGTGTTCGGAGTCTCTCCACTGACCCTAGAAACCATACCCACCAAAGTGTTCGGAGTCTCTCCACTGACCCTAGAAACCATACCCACCAAAGTATTCGGAGTCTCTCCACTGACCCTAGAAACCAGATTCGCCAAAGTGTTCGAAGTCTCTCCACTGATCCCAGAAACCAGACCCACCAAAGTGTTCGGAGTCTCTCCACTGACCCTAGAAACCAGATTCGCCAAAGTGTTCGAAGTCTCTCCACTGACCCTAGAAACCATACCCACCAAAGTGTTCGGAGTCTCTCCACTGACCCTAGAAACCATACCCACCAAAGTATTCGGAGTCTCTCCACTGACCCTAGAAACCAGATTCGCCAAAGTGTTCGAAGTCTCTCCACTGATCCCAGAAACCAGACCCACCAAAGTGTTCGGAGTCTCTCGACTGATCCCAGAAATCAGATCCACCAAAGTGTTAGAAGTCTCTCCACTGACCCTAGAAACCATACCCACCAAAGTGTTCGGAGTCTCTCCACTGACCCTAGAAACCATACCCACCAAAGTATTCGGAGTCTCTCCACTGACCCTAGAAACCATACCCACCAAAGTATTCGGAGTCTCTCCACTGACCCTAGAAATCATACCCACCAAAGTATTCGGAGTCTCTCCACTGACCCTAGAAACCATACCCACCAAAGTATTCGGAGTCTCTCCACTGACCCTAGAAATCATACCCACCAAAGTATTCGGAGTCTCTCCACTGACCCTAGAAACCATACCCACCAAAGTATTCGGAGTCTCTCCACTGACCCTAGAAATCATACCCACCAAAGTATTCGGAGTCTCTCCACTGACCCTAGAAATCATACCCACCGAAGTGTTCGAATTCTGTCCCCTGACCATAGAAATCATATCAACAAAAGTGTCCGGAGTCTCTCCACTGACCCTAAAATATCGACCAAAGTGTTCCGAGTCTCTCCACTGACCCTAGAAATCAAATAGACAAAATTGTTCGGAGTCACTCCACTGACCCTTGAAATCATATCAACAAAAGTGTTCGGAGTCTCTAAATTGTCCTTAGAAACCATTTCTACAAAAGTGTTCCGAGTCTCCCTCCACTGTCCATAGAAACCGCATTCACTGACACATTTCAAACGTTCGAAATTATTGCAATGAATCTCGTTCCCTCAGCAGAAATCTGTTATTGTTTTTCATTGCTATCCAATCGATTGTATTTGTTGAATATGTTTACTTTAGGCTGATTAGGAACAGACAAGAACGTTTACGCGGATCATCAAAAAAACAAATGATTTGTCTTAGTGTGGAAAGTTCACGTAACGGTCAACGATACCATCTTGTTTGTAACGATGATCTGGCCAAAACAGCTATGGGAGTAGATACTAATTTGTCGATTTACCGACTTTATGTAAATCGTTATGGTCGTCTGAAAGTGTTGTTTACTTATTTAATAGGCAGCCACGGTTACTGCATTCATAATAATGTATTTTCCAGTCATAATATCTATCAATATACAATAACACAGCGTTGTTCGTGTACGTACACAACTTTACTCGCGACCTGGTAGCTGTATATTTACCTACCTGGTAATATTAGTCATGGACAAGTCGCTCCTCATCACCTAGCATGAAGTCAAGTGAGTGAGACATTAATTTATCAACAAATTGTATATCTTTCCTCTTTAACTGATTGCAAAATACGGTGTTTACAGATCAGAAGATAGCTTGCAGACGGTTGAAATTTTGGAAAGTGAGTCTACTGTGTTCATCAGAGCCCAACTTTCGAATCGTCAACACTATTGCGTGTTTGTATATCACATCTGTAGTAAAATTCTGTTTATCTAAATTATCAAGAGAATCTGGAATGACATGACACCTTCATCACATCACATTCGACAAGTCGATTGAGGTTCATATAAAAAAAGTCACCAATTGTTTTTTGTATGTTTTATGTCACAGAAGCATTCAAAATTGCGACATGGATTATCCAAGTTATGGATCAATATATGTTCGATGTCTTAGAAGTTAAAAAAAATCTGAAATCATCGAAATACTTTAAGAAAACATGTGGAAGATTACACTTGTAAAATAAGTAAGTCGTCCGGTTTTTGGAAACAAAATATGAAAACAAATGTTCTACATTAACAGAATAATACGTTACCCTTCTACAAATATCAGTTTGGTTTGGAAACAATAGGAAACGTTTTCTTTTTCAACTAAATGTTTGTATATCCCCAACTCTCCTCTGCTACTAATATCTAACATGTACTGATCCATACCCCGGAATATATTTCACAAATCATCAGTCACACGCGCGGACATTCGCACTAGGGCTAGTTCTCCAAGCATAACTATGGCTCTGTAGCTACACCCTTCTCTCTCTCTCTCTCTCTCTCTCTCTCTCTCTCTCTCTCTCTCTCTCTCTCTCTCTCTCTCTCTCTCTCTCTCTCTCTCTCTCTCTCTCTCTCGTTAAGGGATATCATGGTGACAATGGGACGTTGGAGAACTAGCCCAATTTGTGTTTCATTTCACTATTTACATTTACATCTGTGTATATCTATATCACTCCAAGCACGAATTCCCATGAGCAAATGACACGAATAAAATGACAAAGATAATATAATACTTAGGAATCGTCATATATGCAGCTGTCTTTAATAGTAAGGTAGGCCTTATACTAAATCCTTAGTTCTCAAAACACTGTGATACATTTTAGAGAGAGAGTAGGAAAACATTAGAAACGGAATATGACTCTGAAATTTTAACAAAGGAATGTTGTTTCTTTGATGACATAACCATTTGTTGTTTCGCACTTTGATCAGTCATACATTTTGAAAGGATTTAGTATAGAGGCGTGTCCTCAAAATTAAAGACTTGAATACTGAGTACTGACGCAAACAAATCCTACAAACATAGGTATATAATTATATATAAACAGTGTACGTCCAAGCCTACACCGGATATACTGGCTATACAGGCAATCATTCAACTCAGTCTTCATCTAACGCCCCCCTCCCCTCCCCATATCATATCCCTGACCCACGAACCCCCAAGAACAGTGTAGTCCCATGAAGCCCTCCCAATCAATTGGTTAAGTGATTAAACCAATGCGATCAGCCGTCCAGAAATTGATATTGTTCAGTCAAGAAACATCGAAATACCAACCCCAAGTGACAGGACAATACAGTCAACATGTGCAGCTTAATCCAGAAACATCAACCCAATGACAGCCCGTAACATGTAAAACATGAGCGTACGTCCAGAAAGTATATCACATTGCTGCCTTCGTGTGTATCCTTCCTTGACCTGAGCAGCGAAGGAAACGCCAACGTTATTTCTAAAACTTATCTTGAAAGCTGAATTATCATTACAATAGTCACGCTAGACATAAAACTGAAAAATATTATGTATATATAATGTAAACATAACGAGTATATATATTAAACCTGGGCCTCACACAAGTTTATGTACAAATCACTGTCATATGAAACAGTGGCTGTCGACTCTTTCTCCTGGCTCGGGGGATCGAACAATTCTATCCGAACGTTGTCCATGCTCTTTTTGAATTTCCTATGTTCGCTGCGGTGGTCACCGCGGTGGTCGCCCGAGCGTGATGAATTGCTCTCCGACTGGGCGGACTTCCCCGTGTGATTTGAATGTGTGCTGTCGCTCGGATATTCTGACGTATGTGGACAGCTATGGGAGAGTTCCGACCGCTCAAACCTGTCCCGTCTGTTAGAGTAGGACGATGAACTGTCCGTTGCCTTGGAGGACAGCGAGGCGTGAGACACTTCGTTGAAGTCGAGACGTAAGCCTTCCTTTTCCTCTGTAATCTTAGATAATAATATCTGTCTAGGTCTTTCTTTCTCTTTGTGATGTATGAAACACTGCATCTGAATGCGTCCCGTATCTTTACCGTTTTGTTTTAGGCGGGAAGGCGACACAATGAACTGTACATTGTTAAGTGGCTTCGTGATCATAGCTTCAGTAAGGTCAAGGTCGAGCAGAGCTGCCGCCTCAGCACTGTTCTTGCTACATGTGTTTTTCGCAATTTGGATCATCTCCTGGTTTGATTTATGCTTTTCAAACATTGGCATGAAAAAGAAGAGTATTCCCCCCAGCAGCATTGACACGCCGGAGAAAATATAGCCAGCCTTCGGTGTGTCGTAAGTTCTGTTGAGGTATACTGAAAAAGACAAAATCATTTTACCAATCAAAGTTAGATCTAAGGGAAAAGTCAAGGACCACATAGTTAATACTGGGTAGAAAACTATCGTTATTAAGTTTACAAACAATAGGAAAAGGTCGTTAATGGAATCTTTGTTTATGAGATTTAATGGAATCTTTGTTTATGAAATAAGAATGAGAGTGAGTTTTGTTGACATTTTAATGAAATAGGTACAGAGTATAACTTGGTTAACACCCCCTTCATACTACAGAGACTTACTTTTTCACCATACTTAGTGCTTCAAACTCTGTTCCATCAGTTTTAATAATTCATTTCCATAGAAATTAACCCTATAACCATATAAAACTGTAATCTTCTCACTAGTCATTCTCTTTGTGTAGATTTTACTACAGCAGTCAGTCTCTAAGACGTTTGTAGTCTGATTTCCATCATTTTATCAGCTGATTAAATCTTTTAACATGTAAATAATTGGCCGTTACTTTAAACAGGACTACACAGTTTATAAATATTTCTATGACATATTAACATCACTGCCACCTTATGTTATGCTGGTGACCTTGGTCCATTTTATACTAATTTACACTTAATGGATCATGGGAAGCCGTCTTGCCAAATCTGCTTTCACCGCATACTTACACGAGATTGGCGATCCTATCAATATTGGGATACACTGCCCCACAGCCACAAAAGCCCAAGCCCTCTCCATGATTTTGAGCTTGACCAGTTCGTACGTGTATATTTTGAGAGTGTAGTGGTAGCCTCCACAGAAGATACCGAACACCCAGGCATATAGGGCGAAGGCATTGAAGTCTTTAGCCATGATGAGGAGGAGAGTGAGCACCCCGCACGCTATGCACGAGGACTGGCACAGGTGGTGGGTAGATATAATGCACTCCTTACTCTCGCGGATGACGATGTATCCGTGAATAAGACAGCCGAGTAGGAATCCGAGACCCAGGTAAACGTTATACAGCAGTAACATGTCCTTGTCATAATGTTCTGACCCTGTCTTTATCTGAAAGGTCAAAGTAAAGGCTTTGAGAATTCTCCACCAAACAAATTGTATATTACCCCTGAGCACAACAACTCTTTGTTTGATCTAACCATTGTCCTAGGTAATAGAAATCTATAAGTAAATGTCGACTTCTATCTCTACTTACATCATATGATTACAAAACCAATAATCATTTATTATTATCCTACTGATCTTAAGATGTTGTTTCAATCATACATCATCACAGGTAATAATCAGATCGGTCCCCTTACTAACCAAAGCCTAATAGTATGTACACTTACAGAGCTCCCAAAAACCGTATATTCATTAACTATAGAAGTCTGTCTGGATTCAATTAAAGCCCTTGTAACAATCGGTGTCAAATGAGGATAGACAGTCATGATTACACAAAATAAGAAAACAAAGCTCAATTTTGAGGAATATAACAATTATTGTAAGAAATATTGACAGACAAAGAATGCTTGCTACAAACCTAGAAACGTCTTTTGATATTAAGACTAGACATCCCGACACTAATTCTTCAGTTTTAGTTCTTAGAAACAATATTATGTATATGACGTAGTTTGTTTACATGGTGGGTGTCGCCGATGAAGCAAAGGACGCTTACCCTTCTGAAGCCCCTGGTCTTATACAGTGTGTTAATATTACTTACATTATCCTACAGTGTGTTGATATTACTTGCATTATCCTACAGTGTGTTAATATTACTTACATTATCTTACAGTGTGTTAATATTACTTACATTATCCTACAGTGTATTGATATTACTTGCATTATCCTACAGTGTGTTAATATTACTTACATTATCCTACAGTGTGTTGATATAACTTACATTATCTTACAGTTTGTCATTATTTCTTCAATTTGTTATCTCTTACTCTATGTATTATCGTTTTACATTTGTGAAATATAATAAACATAAAGCTGTTGTTGGACAACAAAGAATTTTACAATACTATTAGAAATAAATACAAGATGCTATAAATGACCTTACGTTATCTATATAAACATCTCTATGTTAGTATAGTCATTACCATCACGACGAACGGGACGTAAATTCCAAGCCCCACTATTCCCGTGATAAACATGAGGGCCTGGAGGGAGCGCATCCTTAGTGCTGAAAAGTCAAAGTAGGATACATTGTTGCTATCCTCCTGATCCCGGCGACCTTTTTTCTGGGACTTAATGTGCACAATAACTTTCCGCCGTGGGTGATACATGGAGGCGGAGCGATAAAGTGATCCTGCGAAGATAGTCAACACAAGAATACCAGCTAGGCACTGAAGGGCTACCCGCCATTCTAATTTTCTGAAAAAATAAAATGAGAATAATGATTGATCAAATTGAATTCACTATAATCAGAGATGGGTTATTTGTTTAAGAATGTCTGACCGTCCGATATCTAGAAGTCATAAATGGAACATCTTCAAAAGGTACACATACACTCTACTTAGTCGGTCACAGTGCATTACAAGATGACCTATCATTCAACAGTTTTCAAATCCCAGGTGAAAGCTGTTTCAAAATTTGTTTAATGAATGCCCCTAACTTGGAGGTCAGCAGCTGAAGATTGTCATCACTACTTCTAGAAGATACTTCTAAAAACATACGTGGATTCCCCTTCATTCTTTTGTGCATGTTTTATTTTGAGATTTGAAAAAGATTATTTTTTTCCACTTTCGTAAAAAGTCTGATTGGGTTTGCTCCAGTTTTCATTGTCAATTCTACAAGATGCATACGGATCATCTGAAGAAAATGACATACAGACATCAGAATTGTGTACACATTTGTGTCGCAGTCCATTACCAAGCAATGGCAGTTTTGAGAACACATGTGAACTAAGTCATGAGTTTTTAATGTTTGATTTCAGATCAACGTCTCGACACCTCTTACTGATATTAGAGGTACACACTTTTTAACTATTCCAAGCTGTCCCTCGTGAATAATAGTATACATACAACGATTACTTACATTACCCAAAGTCAGCTTCCGGTGTTAGAACTAAATTTAGTAATTACAGTTGTTTTAAACAAATGTTATGGATGTTTGACTAACACCATGTCATGGAAATCGTTTTGTGCTGCCCAGAACAACCTTGTGTTTCCTTGTGAACTACGTTGAGAGGTACCCTGTACAGTCTCATTATACATATATATATATACATATATATATATATATATATTTAATTAATTTTTTTTTTTTTTTTGGGGGGGGGGGGGGGGTTGTACTTTTTTTGGGCGGGGGAGCTTCTATTAAAATTATTGGTAGATTATTTGTAAACAACTCTCACACATTATAAAACATCAACGTAGCTCTTTTTATTATATGTTCCGTTGTTAATGTTGTGGTGATCATTTAGTCATTCGAAGTTATTTGATGTATTTATACAGATACGTTGATGTAGATGAATACATAACAGGAGTCACTGGGTCAACCTAAACTACACGTGTAATTGTTATTGTGCTGAAGAGAGATAACTAATGCCGGATTAATTGATATATTTCCACATTGTGTATAACAAAGCGCGTTAATTAACCTCCCAGGTACAGGAAACAACGACTCCTCGGCATTAAGACGACACCTTAAAGAGGACTTCACAAGCACTACATCGACTTGGATGGTCTCATTCCCACCCGAACAGGCGTCTTTGTCCTCTTTTGTTACTCTATTTTACCCTGCTTACTTACGAGTGGTAATATCTTACTTACCTGTTGTAATATATCTTACTTACCTGTGGTAATATCTTACTTACGAGTGGTAATATCTTACGAGTGGTAATATCTTACTTACAAGTGGTAACATCTTACTTACGAGTGGTAATATCTTACTTACAAGTGGTAACATCTTACTTACGAGTGGTAATATCTTGCGAGTGGTAATATCTTACTTACGAGTGGTAATATCTTACGAGTGGTAATATCTTACTTACGAGTGGTAATATCTTACTTACGAGTGGTAATATCTTACTTACGAGTGGTAATATCTTACTTACCTGTGGTAATATCTTACTTACGAGTGGTAATATCTTACTTACGAGTGGTAATATCTTACTTACGAGTGGTAATATCTTACTTACGAGTGGTAATATCTTACGGGTGGTAATATCTTACTTACCTGTGGTAATATCTTACTTACGAGTGGTAATATCTTACTTACGAGTGGTAATATCTTACTTACCTGTGGTAATATCTTACTTACGAGTGGTAATATCTTACTTACGAGTGGTAATATCTTACTTACCTGTGGTAATATCTTACTTACGAGTGGTAATATCTTACTTACGAGTGGTAATATCTTACTTACGAGTGGTAATATCTTACTTACGAGTGGTAAGATCTTACTTACGAGTGGTAATATCTTACTTACGAGTGGTAATATCTTACTTACGAGTGGTAATATCTTACTTACGGGTGGTAATATCTTACTTACGAGTGGTAATATCTTACTTACGAGTGGTAATATCTTACTTACGAGTGGTAATATCTTACAAGATAACGAAGATCGGCAAAAACACGTGTAATAGTTTTTTCTTGATGATAAACTTCTATGTCGTCTGGATGTCTGTTACACAGGAGCGTCTAGTGAATGTTCTATTTATTCGATTGCTATCCAAGGTCGCAAAGAGCTCTCTTTTCTGCCATACTCATGTAATGGTATACTGCCGACTCGTGTCGGTATCATCGACATCTTGCACGATTCCAAGCAAAAAATTATGACATATTTGAACATAATTTTCAACTTGATTAGAAGATATTAAATGAACCATGGAGTTATTAAAAAAAGCTCCAACAACTTTGATAAAAACCGTCTCCTGTTTCGTGAAATGCGATCTATATCCTAGTACCCAGTCAGTAATTTGCATCCACAACCTTTGGTGTTTACATGTCGCAGTTGATTCGATATTCAAGGGCCTGTTTCCATTATCACGATTATCATGCAAGTAGTGGTCAACTGACGGCCAAACTCATAACACGGGATTTCAAAAGATGCACGTTGATGCCAATCATGCTCCAAGTTTTTCGGTCGTCATAGTGATCTCATTGAGAGATATGCTATTTCTTCGTGTGATATGAAGGTGGACGTGTTTGATGCTTGTTAGTGTGCGGTGTTGTATACCTTGTTCTCATTTGAGAACCTGACATACTTGAGCAAGGTTTACATAGCATGTGTCATCGTTGATGAAGCAGAACACGCTTTCTCTTCCGGAACACTTGATCTTATCTTCTCCTTGTACTTTTCAAGGAGCCTCCGTGTCAATCTTTGTTTGGTTCATATTTTGCCCTGGTTTTATTGAATTTGAGTTTGGATTATGATTATGTTGACAGCGTGTTGGTATTTCCTTTTTGTTTTTCATTGGCTGCTTCTTGGTGATTTTGTAATCACCACAGTTTCGAATGCCGTCTTGTTTCCTTGACAACTGGCCAATTGGTCGATGCTCGCTCAGCAAAAATGAAATTATTTCTCTTGATTCTCTTGGCGTAATGATTCCGTTCATCCGAACTTACGGCGCAAAGCATAAGATATGGATATCCCTTAGAAATAGACCTAACCAGCCTAGAGTGCATCATACACAACGTGCACATAGATATCAATAAATTTTCTGCTAAAGTATGCTAAAACATATTTCACGCAAAATAATGCTCGCTGTATACTGTCTCAAATGAATACCAAGAGGCTAAATGCAACAGAAATATCAACATCTGTATAATCGACCACGAAGTAGAATATTCTCCTACACCCAGCATAGTGCTCTGTGTCTTAACCGAATCCAATATTTTTATGATGAAGCGGTCTACCGGTATTTCTCTTATTCCAATGTTTTGTGTTGTTATTGTTTTTCACTTGACGTTTTTATGAACACGACAATCTTTGGATCGATACTTGATGTCCATACAGACTAGTGTTCACTAAAAATAGATCTGTGTTTCTATTTTATCGTGAGGCTCAAACATGATGACGTCGCTATGTCGATTAGAATTGGCATCAAGGGACGTTTTCATGTTCCGTCTTGCACAATCGTGAGCAGAGATGTGTTGGAAAGTTTTGGTGTTATATACCCCGTGCACGTCCTGTAGATAGTTGTGGAGTCAGAACTGCTGTCTTAAATAACTATGTGGAAGGTACATGTTGTAGATAGTTGTGGGGTCAGCACTGCTGTGTTAAATAACTTTGTAGAGGGTACGGGTTGTAGATAGTTGTGGTCAGTACTGCTGTGTTAAATAACTATGTGGAGGGCACGGGTTGTAGATAGTTGTGGGTCAGTACTGCTGTGTTAAATAACTATGTAGAGGGTACGGGTTGTAGATAGTTGTGGGGTCAGTACTGCTGTGTTAAATAACTTTGTAGAGGGTACGTGTTGTAGATAGTTGTAGGTCAGTACTGCTGTGTTAGATATATGTATGGGGGGTACGGGATGTAGGTAGTTGTGGGGTCAGTACTGCTTTGTTAAAGATAGTCGTGGGGTCGGTACTGCTGTGTTAAATAACTATGTGGAGGGTACGGATGGTAGGTAGTTGTGGGGTCAGTACTGCTGTGTTAAATAACTATGTGGAGGGAACGGGTTGTAGATAGATGTCGGGTCAGTACTGCTGTGTTAAATAATTATGTGGAGGGTACGGGTTGTAGATAGTTGTCGGGTCAGTACTGTTGTGTTAAATAACTATGTAGAAGGTACGGGTTGTAGATAGTTGTGGGGCCAGAATTCTTTGTTGAGGGTAACTGTGTGTATACAGTACTGGAGTGTTAGATAACTGTGTGTATACAGTACTGGAGTGTTGGATAACTGTGTGTTTACAGTACTGGAGTGTTAGATAACTGTGTGTATACAGTACTGGAGTGTTAGAAAACTGTGTGTATACAGTACTGGAGTGTTAGATAACTGTGTGTATACAGTACTGGAGTGTTAGATAACTGTGTGTATATAGTACTGGAGTGTTAGATAACTGTGTGTATACAGTACTGGAGTGTTAGATAACTGTGTGTATACAGTACTGGAGTGTTAGATAACTGTGTGTATACAGTGATAGTACTGGAGTGTTAGATAACTGTGTGTATACAGTACTGGAGTGTTAGATAACTGTGTATACAGTGATAGTACTGGAGTGTTAGATAACTGTGTGTATACAGTGATAATACTGGAGTGTTAGATAACTGTGTGTATACAGTACTGAAGTATTAGATAACTGTGTGGATACAGTACTGGAGTGTTAGACAACTGTGTGTATACAGTACTGGAGTGTCAGATAACTGTGTGTATACAGTACTGGAGTGTCAGATAACTGTGTGTATACAGTACTGGAGTGTTAGAT